CCCTGCCCCTTTCTGAGTTTATAGGGTGGGACCCCACCCTCTTGGTTGCAGCTGCAGCTGCCTAACCATGGCTGCAGACCTGGGCATCCCTGAACTCTTGGAGGCCCAGGTAGTCCTCCCTGACCCCAAAGGCTCAAAAGTCTCTCCTCCCACTCCCTGGCCTCTCCCTGTTCCTGGTGCCCACTCTAATTTTGGAGAAAAGTTGAGGCTGAGCCTGGGTGCTGTCAAAAGCTGGCTAGGTGTGCACACTTGGAGCAACTCTAACATGCTAGCCACCTGACACCTCAGCCCCTTCTGGACTTTTGGTACTGACAGGCATGTGAGGGAGGCTGAGGGGGGCTGAGGGCAGGTTGGCATGGGCCTGCATGTGCCCCATGACACAAACAGCCTGGGTTCCATGGACAACATCATCGATGGTGGCAGGAGGTAGACAGGCTCCTGGGCAGAAAGGGGTACATCCCTGGTGAAACCTCACCTTCAAGCCAAGGATGACCTGAAGCACGGGGGCTGGGCTTTCATTTCCAAGCACAGTTTGTGGCCTGGAGTGAGAACTTATAATGCATTTTCCGGACCCACCCATGACTGTTGATGAACTAATAAGTGTACACCTCCACCCTTCTGAAGCCCATAAAAACTCCAAACTCAGCCAGACTCACAGAGCTGTTGAGATGACCAGCTGTAGGAAGGAGATACCCAGTTCGGGTCTCCTCAACTTGTCCAGATGACCAGCTTGTGAAAAGGAGCTACGCACTCTGGGTCTCCTCTCTGCTGAATGTTGGACACTTGTTGGGATGACCTGCCTGTAGAAAAGAACTACTCACTTTAGGTCTCCTGAGAGCCATTCTGTCACTCAATGAAGCTCCTCTCTTCCTTACTCACCCTCCAGTTGTTTGGGTACTTCATTCTTCCCGGACACCAGATAAAAACTGGAGACCTGCTGAATCACAGGACTGAAACAGCTGTAACACAAACAGGGCTGAAGTATGCCCCCTGCTTGCCACATTGTAGGTGACAAGGAGAGAAGAGCTGCAGCCCCTCAGCAAGCCCAGAACTAGGGGGTCCCTGAGCCAGTGTTGTGACACCCTCTTTGCGGCTGTGCAATTTGTAGTATCATCAAGCTTTTGGGCACCATTGTGTTCCTCTTATCTGGATGTGCGTGTCTGCAGTAGAAGCCATGTGCAGTACATCAGGTCCAGTTGCAGCCTCACATGGAGATGACATCTGTGCTGGCATCTGAAGCTGCCCACCCTGCCCCAGCAGCTGACATGCCTGACTGTGTGCAGTGGCTGGACTCTGTGTTTGCTTGCTCACACAACCCTTGCCTCTCCACACCTGGCTCACCCTTGGTAGGTGTGGGATCTGGACCCATAGCCAAGTGTAGCCTGCTGGGCCAATGGGTGGAATGAGCCCAGTGAGCATGAGCAACACTCAGGCAGAAGGTGCTGTTGGCCACAGAGCTTTCCAGGTGGTGAAGCAGCACACCAGGGATCCTGACAAGAACACACATAGGAATATCCACGAATCTTATACCTCACACTCCTATTTCACTATCCTTGTGTGTATCAAGGACACATGATAAGGTCAAATTATATGTCTTTCTGCCTGAGATTCTGTGCTTCTTCTCTCTATAATTCTTATCTTTCGTACACGAGGCATTGTCAAGTTTTTGCAAGTTTTATTGTGGCCCACAGTTTGGCTTTTGCATCCCTGCCCTTTTTGCTGAGCCCTCTGTTTCCTTACTTTCTTTATGCCTCTATCTGTGACCCTACAAAGCTCTTAACCTCACTTGTTACTGTTCTGTGACCTAAATAAGAGTATGAATGAATTCTATTATTGACAGGGAGAATGGTCGGGTATGCAGTCCTCTGCTTGAAGAAATAATGTGTAATGGTCACTGCCATGTATTTTGGAGGTTAATTTCTGCCTCTCTGAGCTTGCACAATTTACCTTGTCTGTGTCAACATTGCTGCCTTACTCAGGGATTGGTCCCCTTTATCAATTTTCAGTTTTCTTGCATATGACTTATCCAATTTCAGCTCAAATTTTGCATAAGTTACAAATATCATTTTCAGGAAAGAATAATAATCTAAAATAGTTTTCTGTTTTTCTGGTGGTGAGAGATTTTATCATCTTAGGGAGAATATTGCTTTTTTTGGAAACTGTCTTTCTAAGCCATCTTGAGGTAGGAAAATACTGACAAGCTTTGGTTTTAGTTAGTGCCAAGACTTCTAAAAAAGATGAGAAAAATAATACATAATAGACAAGGTGAAATTGTTTCCTCTGTGTGAGACAGAGAGTCAGAAAGGAAAAAGGAGACGTGAAAGGAGATCATGATAATAGTATCATGTATCAGTTTCTATGAACCTCAAGTCATTGGTAAATCAAAGACCATCATAAAATGCTTGGGATATTTGATTTTGGGTTGATATGGAAACTAAACAGAGATGAAATGCTTGAATGTAGGGGCTAGAGATAGAGGTGACATGGATATTTTGATTCTATGGATGTTGGAGAGGTTCTTAGACTTTCTCCAAATATGAAATCAGTAAGGATTCAAGGACGTTTCAACCTAGGGCACTGAGGAAGAGGAAATTTCCAAATGACATCTGAATTACCTATACATTCAGCCAATCTCAGGTCTCATTCTATCATGTCTAGCTCTTATTTCTGAAGCTTCCATAATAAGAGTTTTGTATTACTTTATATCACCCACAGATACTGGCTTATGACCTCCCAGGGGCTCCTAAACTGGTAGAAGTTTCTAGTCTTGGGTTAGGGTGGGAGATTCTCATTTGAACACCATTTGTGTACTCAGTTTAAAATGAACATATGGATCTGTTGTCTGGTTTCATGATTCTAAAAATAAGATTGGATCAATAAGAGGAAAGATAGACAATGCCAACTACCTTTCCTTGTATTTCCTTGTATCTCTATTCTAGATTTTTAAATTTCCTGGTTGATTGCTTTTTCAAAAAATAAATTTTATTTGAGGTTTACAAAATAATGCTATGAGTTATGTATAAATACATAGGTATTTATACATAACTCATAGCATTATAGATACTATAATGGTTACTATAGTAAAGCAAGATTATCATATTTATCATCCCACATAATTACCCTTTTTGCTTTACTTTTTAGTTCTAATCTCTGCCCTGGCCCTGCCTAGAAACCTGTTTTCTTTGGAATGATATCCCTGTCTGGATCTAACTAGTCCTGATATAGACTGCATTTATAATTATGAATCACTAATTCTTTTAGTTCTCTCAGAACTGCCTGTTTATTCTGTAGTTATATATCATTGGTTACCAAATTCCCAAGTCTTTGTGATCTAGGACCCTCACTGGTAACTTTTAGGATTATTGCCCCTTGGTTCTGTTCTCTTGCTAATGACAATACTGCCCATCGTGTATTATTATGTCTTCTGGGGAATTCAGCAGTCCAAGTAACCTGTTTGAACTCTATCAAGATGTCTTCTCTTTGTTTCATGCTTATTCAAAATCTGGGACTTTTAAAAATCAAATTATAGCTTCTCCTGTTTTTATTGGGTCTCTTCCAATTTTTTAAAATGAATTAAGGCTTCAATGGATATCCTTGCCTTTGTAAAAAGGCATGACATTATCTGGGTGCCTGCCAGTGATTAGACCCTCAACATTCCGACTGATTTTGGAAAGCAAAAGAAAAATCTCTGGGATGAAGGGGCTCTCTGGAATTTTGCATTGTATAAAGGTAGAAATATCCTTGTCTGTTTAGTGACTCACCATGTGTCTATTGCTTTATTGTTTCAAAGCTTCCTGGCATAGCTTGTTTTATGGACCATCTTGACGAGTAATTAATTACAAGTAAGTGGGGGTTTAGAAGGTGAAAGAAAAACTTGCTTAAAATGATGCAAAACTATATCTGCCTAAGAAAAGCTAAATTGTTTAATTTGGATGAGGAGTTGTAGGAAGACACAGGCTTCCCTCCATTTTGGCCAATTCCCTGCCCCCTTCCTGCCCTCCACCTTCCCATCAGAGCCAATTAGAACCAGGCAGTCACCAGTCCATAAAAAATGGGATTCCAGGCAGGGCCAAGCAGGAATACAAACTGAAGGAATTAGAGGCCAATGTTAGTCATTCCTTTTACTTTTCCTTCAGCCACCAGAGTTTAGTCCAGGTATGGCCAGGGTTCTCTCTTAGGCTTTCTGTTTGTACCCTCTCTTAATTCTAAGTTCATTAACCAGTCCAAGCTTCTGCCTGTTACATGGCATCCCATTTTCTCTGGACTAGGCTACTCCCTTGCTCTAATTTGTTCTCTATATGTTTTGTCATTGTACCATTTCAGCACGTACAAAAGTTTTCGCTATACTCCTTAAAATTATCCACTCACAATCCCATCTTATATGCTATTTCAGATAGAAGAAGACTTACTGAAAGAAACCCACAGAATTCCAAGTATATTATATCTGCCCATAGCTTGAGGAAAATATAGCTACTGCCCTTCCAGCTTATTGATTGTCTGCCTATCATTGGTTTCTACTAAGAAGTAAATGTGTTGGGTAGTGGTGAGAAGGGATGTGTCTTTCACTCTTCCCTCTTTTTCTCCTTGAATATTCAGAAACTATTTCTTTTTCTGACTCAGAGGAGCAAGAAATCAACTGGGATAATGGAGTGGGCAAAGGAGTAACAAGAATAAAAATTTGTTTCTCCAGCTTGCTTTACAATCAGCAGTTTTAACAGATATTTAATATCTTATAATATACTATTCCAAGAGAAAGAACTTGCAGTTTAAGGAAATGTTTTGAAAAATGAATGGTATAATCTCTCCATGTTTTATACATCCCAAATTATCATGTTTGACTACTATAAAGACTATTATATTCAATATTTTCTGGTTTATTTGTCAGCAAGACTAAGGTCTTTATGTTTTTCTTATCCCAGAGAAATGCAAGTGGGATGTCAAAGTCATATTTCTGTTCATTCATATTCATATTTAACAGGCTTAACATGTTACACAGTGTGGTAGTTTGGTTTCACAAACATGAGACTAGTTCCATTTAACATATACAGTAACATTTTGAGAATTAATATTTCTCTTTTATAATGCCTTGAGCATCACACAGTTAGCAAATAGCATGCAGGATTATAACAGAGGTCAGTCTGACTCAATCCATTACACTACTTTCTCAAGGTGTCTGTGGATTATCACATGGATCATGAGGGTATCAAATTTCGAGCCTTTCTAGTACGGGATTCTGGAAGTCAATAAGAGTAGATTCTAGGATGTAGTTAAGATTAAACAAGTTGGGCAGGCAGTTACTATGACTCAGCAGACTTGCAGGGTTTAGGACCTAGCAGTTCAGAATCAGCTAAAATAGTCCCACAGAGCAGACTGAGCACAAAGCTTTGTTATTGTTCATTTTTGTTTGTTTGTTTTGTTTTGCTATGTATGAGCCTTGATGCCTAAACCTGTTGTCAGCAATATTTTCAGAAAGGGCTTAGAATATGCTTGACTGTGGTGCTATGTGAAACAGTGTCTGGAACAAAGTCGGACTGGCTCAAGACAAGGAACAGTGCTAGAGAGTCATTCTCAGGAATTTAGGAGGAGAGAACACAGCAGAAGCAGTGGCCACACATGGGACACCAGAAAGGTGCATAGATCACAAGCAGATGAAATTCCAGTAGGACAGATTTCATAAACCAGTTCTAGAGAAGTAGGCTAGGCAAGCCTCAAAAATGTAAAGTAGAGACGTGGAGTGACATGCCCACTGGAATATCTTGTAAACATCTCAAATTAGATTTAAAGGTGTGGGTGGATGATTGACAAAAGTCTAGGATAGCTGCTAGATTTCACTCAAGCAGTGTGGAAAAACTCTAGTCTTTCCCAGGTTCACTTACAGAGTTTAGGGCTTTCTGACCACAAGAGAGGGACTGATACTGACTTAGTCGTTTTTAGGGCAATTGATCCTTTTCTGTTCCTAAAAGATCTTTACCAAAAAATTTTAATGTTGCCTCCACAATATTCCATTTCAATAATGAGAAATATTCACTCTACTAACCTGCTCAGGCCTCCAACAGTGTGAGGATCACCTCATTGGCTCTGGCCTTCCCTTTGAGAAATGTCACATCCACCATGCTTCTTATCTTTATCGTTGTAGGCCATTCCATAATGCAAACTCCTGTAGTCCCTCTTCTCTTGGATCCTTTCATGCCTTTTCTCTTTCATTTCTTTTTTCTCATATTCTATCTATTGACTCAGGACGCTCATTCTATATACATTTACTCTACTCCATGTTTTCACTATATTTAAATAATTATCTTTTTTTTTTCCCTGTGATGAATAATCTCATTTGTTGATATGGTTAGGCTATGGTATCCAGTTGCTTGTCAAACAGCTGTCAGATAAAGGTGCTTTTGTGAAGATACTTTTTAGATATGATAAACATTTAAATCGGTAGACTTTGAGTCAAGCACATTACCTTCAATAATGTGAGTGAGGCTCACCCAGCGAGTTGAAGGCCTCCAGAAAAAACAACTGAGGTCTCCCAAGAAAAAAGGAGTTCAGCCTCCACATGGCCTTTGGACTCAAGGCTACATCAGCACCTCTTCCTTGGCTTTGCAGATCGCTGGCCTGCCCTGTAGATTTCAAACTTGCCAACTCCCACAATCATGGGAGGTAATCCTTTCAAATAAGTCTCTTTCTTTGCATAAACATCCTATTGGTTTTGTTTCTCTGAAAAACATTTACTCATACAATCCCTTAAAAAACCTTGACTCTGCCCCATGGAAATCACCTACCTTGTGGGTGTCACTAATTGTTACTGTTTTTGCTCTCCCACACTAGACCAAAGAGCCAGGAATCTGTCGGCATTCTGAAGCTCCCATATACTTCCCACTTCTCTTCTTGTCAGGTAAAATCACATCTTTCTTTATTATTAACACTACCCAACTAACACAGTATGCACTACTTTTAAATTTTTTGCTTTTGTCAACCACCAACCTTCCTATCATTTGATGACAATGTCTGACTTTAGCCTATATACCTGAGACAGTAATATCTTTCTTGAAGGGAAATTGTCAGAATTAGGGCCAGTATGTCTACAGTGTTTAGCACTGTGAGTCCATTAGTAGGCACTCAGTACATAAGAGTAATTAGGAAGTATTATGTTTCCATTTAGTACGGGTCTGTATATAAGCTTTAAAATATCAATCTCTGTAACTTTATACCTTCAGGTTCTCTCTCACATTTTTTTTCTATATAACTACTCTTTTATCTCATTAAGACCTTGGCCTAAACTCTTTCTTTGCTTTGTCATGATACTAATGAATGCTGAGCTGATTTCAGATCCAACAGGTTTCTGGTTATTTGGGATAGGGGTTGGTGGTGACTGTTATCTAGAGTCTAATCAGCTTATACATTAGAGATCTTTAATAAGTCATTGTTAGACTGCAAGGTCCCTGATGGGCGTGAGCAGGATATGGGTCCCGGCTCCAAAGGGGGAAAATAAATAAGTCCTCCAGTTTGGGCATATCAATGTTATACACTGCAATATTCTAAAGCATGAGTCACAGGAGTCCTTGGTGGGAAAGTATGGTACCCACTCTCAATTGCTGATGTGATAGTAGATCCTCAGTCTGGACTCTATAACTTTGAAATACTTTATATTTTCTGTGCCCTTGATTGTAATTGTCAGGGGATCAGAATCTTGTAGTTTCTCTGGTTTATATGAAAATATTAGGGTTGTTTTAACCCCATAAGTATTTAGAAAATAATGGTAATTGATGGTACAAAATTCTTAATCCAGAAGAAAGAGAATTATCAGAGACAAAATAAAATACACATTTTCACATGTGGCAGTTATTGTGTTGAGATAAGTTTTTTCTATACATATTTTGTTGAGAGTTTTTATCATGAGTAGAGGTTGAATTTTGTCAAATGCTTTTTCTGCGTCTATCAGGATAATATTTTCTTATCCTTTATTTTGTTAATATGGTGCATCACACTCATTGATTTGCATATGTTGAACCACACCTGCATTCCAGGGGAAAATTCCACTTGGTTATGGTGTGTAATTCTTTTAACATGCTGTTGAATTTGGTTTGCTAGTATTTTGTTGAAAATTTTTGCATCTATGTTCATTAGAAAAATTGGCATGTAGTTTTCTTTTCTTGTGGTATCTTTGTCTGGCTTTGCTCGTAGATTGATGCTGGCCTCATGAAATGTTTGGAAGTAGTTCATCTACCTCTATGTTTTGAGAAGAATTTAAGAAGGATTGGTTCTAATTTTTCTCTGAATATTTGATAGAATTCACCTGTGAAGGTGTCTGGTCCTAGGCTTTTCTTTGTTGGAAAGTATTTAATTCTTGATAAATCACCTTTTTAAATTTTATTGGTCTGCTCAGGCTTTCTATTTCATCTTGGTTCAGTTTTGGTAGGTTATATGATGCTAGGAATTTATCAGTTTCCTCTAAGTTGTCCAATTTGTTGGTGTATCATTGTTCATTATAGTCCCTTGTGATCCTTTTTATTTCTGAGGCATCCATTGTAAAGTCTCATCTTTCATTTCTTATTTTATTTATTTGAGTCTTCTCTCTCTTCCTCTTTAGTTAGCCTAGCTACGAGTTTGCTGCATTGTTTAATTAAAAATTAATTAAAAATTTAAAAAATTAATTAAAAAATAGTTTTGTTGATTTTTCCTACTTTTTTTTTCTATTCACTATTTGATTTATTTCTGCTTTAATCTTTACTATTTCCTTTCTTCTGCTAACTTTGGTCTTAGTTTGTTCTACTTTTTCTAGTTTCTTGGGGTGCAAAGTTAGGTTTTTAAATGTGAGATATTTATTCTTTTTAATGTAGGTGTTCATTACCATAAATTTCCTCTTTAGTATTGCTTTTGCTGTGTACCTTAAGTTTTGGTATGTTATTTTTATAATTTTGTTTTCAGATATTTTTAAAATCCTCTTTTGATTTTCTTTTTACCCAATGGTTGTTCAAGAGTGTGTTTTTAGTTACTACGTATTTGTAAGATTTCTCATTTATTTACTGTTATTGATTTCTAGTTTCATTCCATTGTGGCCAGAAGAGATATTTGGAATGATTTCAATCTTATTAAATTTGCTATAACTTGTTTTGTGATCTAAAATGTAATCTATTTTGGAGAACATTCTATGTACATGAGAAAAATGTATATTCTTCTGTTGTTAGGTGGAAAGTTTAATATGCTTATTAGGTCTGCTTAGTATGTAGCAATGTTCAAGTTAGCTGTTTCTTTATAACTTTTTTGGTCTGAGTGTTCTATCCATTTTATCTCAACACAATAAAGACAATATATGAAAACTTCCTAGATAATATCATAATCAATGTGGAAAAACTGAAAGCTTTTCCTGTAAGATCTCGTACATGGCAAGGAGGCTCCCTATTACCACTTCTGTTCAACATACTACTAAAAGTTCTAGCTAGAGCGATTAGGCCAAAAAAAAAAAAAAAAAAAAAAAAAGGAAATAAAAGATATCTAAATTAGAAAGAAGTAAAGTTATTTCTGTTTGCAGGTGACATGATCTACATGTAGAAAATCCTAAAGACTCAATAAAAAACTTTTAGAACTAATAAAAAAATTAGTGAAATTGCAAAATACAAATTTAGCACACAAAAATCAAAATGAATAAAATACTTGGGAATAAATGTAACCAAGGAGGTAAAAAGCTTATACATTAATAAAGTATAAAATATAGATGAAGAAAATTAAAGAAAATATGGATAAATAAAAAGACATACAATATTTATAAATTAGAATAATTTGTATTGCTAAAATGTAGGCCAGGCACAGTGGCTCATGCCTTCAGTTCCAGTGCTTTGGGAGTCTGAGGCAGGAGAATCACTTGAAGTCAGGAGTTTTAGACTACCCTGGATGACACAGTGAGAACCTGCCTCTAAAAATAATCCATACTATGCAAAATGATCTACAGATTCAATACATCTTTATTAAAATATCAATCTGACATTCTCAACAGGAATAGAAAGATCTAAAATTTGTGTGGAGTCATGAAAGACCCAAAATAGCCAAAGCAAACTTTAGAAAGAAGATTAAAGAGGAAATCATTTACAATAGCAAAGACATGGATTTAAACTATGTGCCCATCAATGGTGGATCGGATAAAAAAAATCTAGTACATATTTGTCATGGAATACTATGCATCCATGAAAAAGAATGAAATCATGTTCTTTGCAATAACATGGATGCAGCTGGAGGCCATTATCCTGAGAGACTTAATGAAGGAACAGAAAACCAAATACCACATGTTCTCATGTGTAAGTAGGAGCTAAATTATTGAGTACTCATGGACATAAAGATGGCAACAATATAAATTGGGGACTGCTAGAAAGGGAAATGGTAGGGGCCAAGGTTGAAAAACTAATTGTTGAGTACTGTGTTCAATACCTGGGTAATGGGACTATTCATATTCCAAAACTCAGCATCACACAATATACCTGGGCTTCATCCCTGGGATGCAAGGCTGGGTCAACATATGCAAATTCATGCCTTTACTATTTATGCATGTAACATACTTGCACATTCACCACCTGAATTTAAAATAAAAGTTGAAAATAAAAGGACAGGACTATTGACCATTTTAAAAAATGTCAATATTTAAAGCTCTGCATTGTCCAGTCAGTTCCCAGCCTTTGTCAATCCTTATAAACCTACTAAGCCGAGTATGCAATGGTCCCCCAGCCCCAGAACCTTGGGCTGGTTGGCAATTACTATTCAACTGTGTGATAATAATTCAGGATCATAAAACACCATAAACAAAAGTAAATAAATTAATTGAAAAATGAATAAATACTTATCATTTGCAAAAAAGAAACAAAATTGAACTGCAAACTATGTCTTTCAAAGCTTCGCAAACTCACTTTTCTATGTTGCCTTGTGTTGTTATGTAAAATTTGCTCCAGCATTTTGTTCAGAAAGATGGCATTGATTAACAATATATTTATCTAAACTATTGCCATAAAGTTATTATTCATGCAGGGCTACAACCGAATTAATTTTGGAGAAGAGCTGTTCAAACAGGACCAGAGCTGTGGTACTTACAAACACCACCGTTTCTCTTTGTGCTAATTAGTTTGAAATGGTTCCAAATAAGAGTCAACCCCACAGAAGTCTGTGTAGCATGAAGCCAGGCTTGTTAAGACACAGAAAACAGTTTCGTCTTGATGAATCAATAACTGCATCATAAAGCCTTTTCAAAAGGAATGCAATCTGAATTACCACACTCAAATGTTGTATATTGTTTATATGCCTCTCAGTCTTTCTTATTAACATTTAAAAGGACTATTATTATGACTCAGTATAGATGACAATACGTTTGTAATGTTTCCCTGCAGTAGGATGGTAGACTAAATTTAGTATAATACCATTTTCTCTTCTCTTCTTATTATATAAATTAACATTTTTTTGTTCTGTGTGTTTTTGATGCATGACTGCCCTTCTAAATTTTGCACTTACCATTAAAACAATTTTGTTATCAATAGTTAAATAAAAAAGAACAAAGCTGGACATGTCAATCTTCCTGATTTCAAACTATATTACGAAGCCAAAATAACATGACAATATGGTAATGCCATAAAAACAGACATGCAGACCAAAAGAACAGAATAGAGACCTCAGAAACAAATTTATGCATTTACCGTCAACTGATCATTGGTGCCAAGGAAAACAATGGGGGAAGGGGTGCCTTCTCAACAAATGATATTGGGTAAACTGCATATCTACGTGTAGCAGAAGTAAATTGGACATTTATGTCTCACCATATAAAAAAATCAACTCAAAATTGATTAAAGACTTAAACATAAGACCTAAAACGTTACAACTCCTAGAAGAAAGCATAGGGAAAAAGCATTTTGAGATTGG